ATATAATATGAGGAAGAGGAGGTCTGCTTGTTCGTCCCGGCTGCCCAGAACCAAAATAATCACGCAGAAACTGTATTAATTAAAACACTGCTTGGCCCATTAGTTCTAGCTTTTTATTGGCTAACTTTTTTTTTTTTGTCCTGGAACTAGCTCTTGTAGACCAGGCTGGCCTCGAAATCACAGAGATCCGCCTGCCTCTGCCTCCCGAGTGCTGGGATTAAAGGCCTGCGCCACCACTGCCCGGCTTATTGGCTAACTCTTAACACTAATTTAACCCATTTCTATTGATCTGTGTATCACCATGTGACAGTGGCTTACCAGCAAAGATTTGGCATGTCTGACTCTGGAGGCTCCATGGTGTCTCCCTGACTCTACCTTCTTTCTCCCAGAATTCATTCTAGTTTTCCCCTCCTACCTAAGTTCTGCCTTATCAACAGGTCAAGGCAGTTTCTTTATTCACTAATGGTAATCACAGCACATAGAGGGGACTCCCGCATCATATTTTATACATGTACATTTCTAAGTTTTATACCTATGCATCTGTGTTAATTTGTACATACATGTGTTTACAAACATCAATTAGTGTTTATTTAAAATGTATACTTATATTTTGCAAATTTAAGTTTATTATATTTTGCATATGTATAAACATGTATACTTAATAAGTGTGTACCTAAATACATTTTTTTAAATTACGTTTTTCTTCTTTTGAGGCAGGGTCTGTCTACATGGCCCTGGTTGTCCTGGAACTCACTGTGTAGACCAGACTGGCCTCAAGCTCACAGAGATCCATCTGCCTCTGCCTCCTCAGTACTGGGATTAAGTCTTGCACCACCCCTGCCCTAAAAATTAGTTGTTTGAGGCTCTCATGTAGCCCAGGCTGGCCTGAAACTATGTAAGGAGCTAAAGCTAGCCTTGAATTGATTATCCTGGCTCCAGCTCCCTAGAATTACAGTTGTGGGCCACCAGGCTCAATAAATACTTGTACATCTAAATTCTAACTAATGTCCCAGTCCCAAATTTTTCTGTACACTGATAGTCACAGAGACTCAGGAATTTAAGCCCTAAAAATGCCCATTCCTGTTCGCTCAGCCTTAAAATCCCCGGGGCTGCCAAGGTAATGAATGGGTGAGGGACAACAGCTTGGCCTTGTCTCCCTGCAGGTGTTTGGCTTCCTGAACCTGGTCCTCTGGGTTGGCAACCTATGGTTCGTGTTCAAAGAGACAGGCTGGGCCGCCCCGTTCATGCGCGCACCTCCAGGCGCTCCGGAAAAGCAGCCAGCCCCTGGGGATGCCTACGGCGATGCCGGCTACGGGCAGGGCCCCGGAGGATATGGGCCCCAGGACTCCTATGGGCCTCAGGGCGGTTACCAACCCGACTACGGGCAGCCAGCGGGTGGCGGTGGCGGTGGCTACGGGCCTCAGGGCGACTATGGGCAACAAGGCTATGGCCCACAGGGAGCGCCCACCTCCTTCTCCAATCAGATGTAATCTGGTGAGTGATGGATGGACGGATGCGGCAGGAAGGGACAAGAAATGAAACTTGAAGGAACCAATAGACAGGCAAAACTACAAAAAAGGGGGAGGGGGAACGAACGCGGAAAATCTAGCCAATGGGCGGAGAGCAAGAGAAGGCAGGGACAGGAGCAGCGTTCAGGGTAGCCAATGAATGGAGTGTAGGAGCACTTTCGCAATGGAGAGTCACGGAAGTAGTGCAGGTAGGGAAGGGGAGGTGGGTCTTCGAAATGATTGATAAACTAATAGGAGATAAAGCGGATAGATGGAGGAAGGTAAGCACGGTGGGGTTTGAGGGTTACCAGCGCACGAGCAGGATGTAGATCTGCTGCTCCCTCTCCTTAACTCTTGTAGTGAAAGAGACGGTGTGGAATTTCAAATGAAGAAAAAGGGAAGGGCAGGGGCCTTGCAAACATGCATATGCCTTCTTGTTGGGCCATAAAAGAAATGAATGCCTGGCGTGATGGAGCACATATATAATCCCCGCACTTGAGAGGCTGAGGCATGGGGATTGCAAGTTCTTGAGTCCTGCTTGGTCTCTATAACCAAATCCTGTCTCGGAGAGAAAGGTGGCATCACCTAGATGGGAATAGATTTGCTAGTGGGTGAGCCAGGTTGGAGAGTCTTCTAAAGCAGCTCACATTTTTAATCAAAAAGTCCTTGGCCGGGTGTGGTGGTCCCAGTGCCTTTAATCCCAGCACTGGAGAGACAGAGAGAGGCGGGGCTCTGTAAGTTCAAGACCAACCTGGTTTACAAGGCAACTTCCAGGTCACTCAGGAAGTTTTCCATTTTTCACATTCATCTTCCCTCTTCGCAAGAGCCTAGTCTATCCCATTTACAACCTGTTCCACCTGCAGCGTCCACGAGGATTCGGCTAGGCCACTGTCTTCCTAAATTCAGAAATCGCTGTCCTGTTTTCAGAAGCCGGTTGTAACAAACATCTCACTAAAAGGCAACAATTTTCCAGAGTGGTCACAAGGCCCACATATGCTGCACAGATGGCTTTGTCTTTTCTTTATGGTCGATGTTATTTTTGAGACCAGGTCTCCTGGAGCTCATGCTGGCCTGGAGCTCACTGTGTTAGCTAAGGATGACCTTGAATTCCTGATTGTGCCTCCACCTCCCTGTTTTGCTAGGGTCCCACTAATGTAGCCCAGACTGGCCTCAAACTTGTTTTCCTCATGCCTCTGCCTCCTAAATTCTGGGGTCACAGGCATATGCCTCCAACTCCATAATCAGTGACTATTTGTCTAAAACAAATCCTCCTGTTATCTCTCATCACACCCTGTGTTTTTCCATATCGCAATTTTAATTGCTAACTTACGGTTCATGACTGTATTCTACTAGATTGGAGGTATAATCGAGGCTCATTCATGCTATACACACATCACTTAGAGCACTTCTTAAAAATGATTTTATTTTTGTTTGATTATGTATATGTGTGTGAGTATGTGCGTGTGAGTTCAAGGAGCCCAGGAGAAAGGTCAGATTCCTTGGAGCTGAAGTTACAGATGGTTGTAACCCACCCAATGTGTGTGCTGGGAGTCAAATGTGGGTCCTCTGAAAGAGCGGCAAGCTCTCTTAGCTTCTGAGCCATCTCTACAGCCTCACTTAGAGAATTTTTTTGTTCTTGGGTGACAGGTCTCAGTATCTAGCATTGGCTATCTTGGCACTCACTCTGTAGACCAGGCTAGCCTTGAGCTCAGTGATCCACCTGCCTCTGTCTCCTGAGTGCTAAGATTAAAAGTGTGTGCCACCATGCCTGGCCTCTTATCATTTTATATTAGGTGATTCCCTAATACGTCCTGTTCATCCTGTGAGGCTTGTCCCCTAATAATGATGTAAGCCTCACCAAGATAGGGTTACTTACTTTGATTTTCAACAGTGACTAGAATGGTACTGAAAAATGGGCTTTTTTGATTAGGAGAGAGGACCTCAACTGTTCCTTTGGTACCCAGTTTGAGCAAGGTTGGTAATATCTTTGTCGTGAGAGCAGCTAGAATGAGGCTGATTCCAGAGCTGTTAGAGAAGAAAACATGCCAGGCAGAAGAAAAAGTGTTGTGGCCCAATCCCTCCCTGGGGATGTCACCCTCACGTGTAGGGCACCACCCTCATCTGGATTTCTCCTTTCTGTGGCTTTTGTCTCTACAGGTCAGTGAAGCCCACGAAGACCCCATGGGTGGGCAAGAGCTCAAGAGAAGACCTGCCCCCCTTCCTATCCCCATACCCTAGGTCTCCACCCCTCAACCCAGGAGACCCTAACTGTCTTTGCTGTTTATATATATATTATATTATATATAAATATCTATTTATCTGTCTGAGCCCTACCCTCACCCACTTCTCCATGCACTAGGGGCCCAGTCCTGAATGGGTTCCTCCCTTATCCTGACCTTGCATTCCTCAGCCCCTCTCCGCTCCCTAGTCCTGTCCCTTGAGGTAAGAGGACTCTAGAAAGGGGACAGGAAGGGGACCAGACCTTGGCTGCATGGGGAGCGTCAATGTGACTTTTCCTTTACTTGTCTCCCTCTGCTCCTCCTGACTCTCTAGCCTTGGTTCCTCCAGCATTGCCTGAACAGAAGCTTGAATGGAAGTCCAACCCCAAGAGTAGGACAACAGATTGGGTGGGGATACAGGATATGGGTGAACCAGGTGGAGAGATGGGAGGAGCTCTGGAGAGTCAGCAGAGAGCTGGGTTCCAGACATACTAGACACTAGACATGGAGCCTTTTAGGGAAATGGTGTCCTACAGCATTCTGGAATGGGGTTAGAAGGGACCCAAGGGAGCAGTTTTAGGAGGGGTGTGGCTTTAACATCCAATGGGCTCCAGAATGAGCCAGCTTGGGTTGGAACCAGCATCTCTAAAAGGAGTGTATATTGAAACATGCAGGAGTCTGTGTTTGATTCCAAAGAGCTTGAGCAAGGCTAGAACTGGGGTTCGGGAGTGATGTAGGCTTGAGAGGAGGTCCTGTCAGGGTTCTAGACAAGCATATGAAGGGTATGAGGAGTGTGTGATGGTCTTTGAAGGGAAGCCCTTCCTGTCGTGGGGCAGCAAAGAAAATACGTTTTCAAAGGAGTAGGGTTTAAGCAGTGGGTGTGGGGGGCCATAGTTAGGAGCCATGAGACGAGTTTTGTTAAACGCAGGAGAGAGAACACACCTGGCACCCTGGGAATTGAGGTAACCTGGGAAGAGCCAAGTTATCGTGGTTTGGAGGGTGAAGGGTGGGATCCAGAGAGAAATGTCCCTTGCTCACCCCCTCAAGAGATAGCTAGATAATCAGAGGACAGAGTCTACAGGTCTGTGGGGCTGACCCACCCTCTTCCCCTTTCTCTACCCTCTCCCTCCACACTCCCCTCTGCCCCGGAATACTTGGAGGCTGGGTCTGGAGCCCCCATCCTGTACCCTCTGCTGTGTCTGTGGTGTTGGTAGTGCCTGTGATCGTGTGTTGCCATTTTGTCTGACTGTGGCCCTTCCCTCTTCCCTCCAGACCCCCCACTTTCCTGTGCCCTTCGGTATTGTTTGAAGACTCCCTCCCCGAGGAAAAACAAATATGAGAAATTCCCTTCTCCCAAATAAACTCCTCAACCACCCAGTTCATCTGGCTCTGATTTCTCGGCGCATCTTTTCCTTTGGGTGCAGACGAAGGAAGAGGAGACAAGAGGAGAGGAAATCAGAGGAACTCAGCCCCCAGTAGCATCCTGCTGAAGCCTTGCCTACAAAGTATTCCGAGTCTCTGAGTTAACACTGCTTGCTGTACCATTGCTGGCCTTCGAATCTTTCTAGGGTGTGGTCCTCATGCTGATCCCTTAGCCACCACCCTTCCTGGTCCCAGTGAAGTCTTGTCCTCAAATTCTCAAGGCCTCCGTAACTAGGAAGACTCCACAAGACTTCATCCTACCCAAGCTCTTGTTTGTGAACACTTCGGGTCCTGTGGTAGCTATCTTCTTTCTCTTGCCTTAGCCTAAGGAGGGGAACCAAAGACCTATCAGGTGGGGAGGCTGATTAACTGATGAAGATCCTCCCCTCCCAACCCCAGTTTCTCCCCGACAAGGGTCAGGAAGTGACAGGGTTGTGTGTAATGGGGTTTGGGGGGAGTGGAAGGGAGAGTTCCTGGGCGCCCAAGATGAAAGGCCTGTCTGACCCGTTGCTGCCTCACGCCTAATTAAAGACTTCACTGGGGCGCCTGAGTTCTGAGTTGTGGCTGCCAGTACTTGACCCCTTCCTAGCCCCAAGGCCCAGAGATGCCAAGAACAGGAAAGAGAGACCCAGCTCTGGAAGTGAGCTCAGGAAAGGCAAGATCTACCTGGCTACAGAAAAATAAGGGAGCGAGAAGGAAAGCTCTAAGACCTACTTGTTTGGGCTGGGATCGGTAGGCACAGTGGCTGGAGTGGATGCCTTGGAAGGATGTGGAACAGGCCTCGGAACCTGGCCAGTGATTTCACTCTCTTCCACATAAATCTCAGGTCTGTCTCTGAAAATGGAGTAAGTCCAGCAGGACCACGAGCGCCATAGAGCACCAGTTAGGACTGAAGATGAGGTTGGGACCATTCTTGTAACATCCATCCTGAAAAAAGGACTCTGGGAAGGGACCAAGAGGTGGCTTTGACCCTGTCCCCCAAAGCTTCCAAGATAAATTGATACTATTCCTCCATGCAAGCACTCCAGTGTACCACTGTAATCATGTTGCTATATCCAACAGCTTTCAAACTCTAAAGACTGTGACACCAAGGGACACTGGAGGGTCAGCTTCCTGACAGACACCCTGCTCTGGCTCTAGCCCTGGGATGAACTCCAATGGTAGGCTTTCCAGCAAGGCACTCACTCACCTTTCGACTGGGGACAGCACAGTGCCTTAGCTACTACAGGCCGGGGGGCGGGCCCTACTTGGCGTGCTCCTCCCACCCGGGAGTCAAGTTTACGGAACAGAGCTGCCAGGCCGGACGCGCCTGTGGCCTGGCAGCCCAGAGGACTCCGTTCGCCTGACCCTGCTGGGCTTGACTCTGTCTTAGCGCGCCATGTTCGCGCGTGGGTCCCGGAGGCGCCGCTCCGGGCGTGCGGTGAGCAGGGCTCAAGGGCAGTGGTGGGGGTCAGGGGAAAACTGAGGCCCGGGCGAGGGGGCAAGGCACTGGGACAGAGGGGAGGCGCCCCAGGGACGGCCTGGAAATTCCCTTCCCCAGCTTTCCTAAGACTTGGGCGCTGGGACCAAAGCACACTCGAGGATGCAAAAACGTATAGAAATGGTGGCTCAACTCTCTCATCTCACACCCTTTATCACCCGCTGCAATCTGGGGACACCCCCTTTCCTGTGAATTAATCCTAAAGTTGAAAATAGGGTCTTGGGATTTGGAGTTGAGCAGGGACGTCCTGAGCTCTTGAGTAAAGGACCTCATACATTGGGGGACTGTAAAATGAGGAGCGGGGGATCCTGCACTCGTGAGTACCAAGACTCAGTGAACCAAGATTTGTATAATAAGATTTCCAGTCTTCCATCGGAGTCTGGACGATTTTGATTTCCTAGATAGGAGGATTTCCCCTCTTTTCTTTGGAAGATCTCTAACCAAGAAAGGTGGAGTCTGGACCAAAGAAGAGAATAGTCCTAAAGTATAAAGGGTAAAGACAAAGATGTATTGGGATGGGAGTTTCGGAATGGAACAGGGACGTACTGTGGTCCTAAAGGTAGTTACTCCTCAGTTCCTCAGGTAGGAGAGGTGAAACCAGGTTTGGGGGAGGGGCAGCAGAACTCCTTAGGGAAGAGCATTGTCCAGAGTTCCTGGGGATCTCCGGGAAGGGTGGGTCCGCAGCCGCCTACTCCGTGGAACTGGTTGTTGAAGGGATCAGAATAAGACTTGAGAGGAAATACCAAGATTAGGGACCCTCCTCTGGTAAGGGACGGACCTGTCTGAGAACTAGAGAGAGACAGACCAGCCCAGACTGGAGAATTCCCTGAAGGGAACATACAGGAAAGTGGTCCCAGCTGCCCTGCCTCTGGTTTGGTTGTTTCCTCCTCCCCCGCGCTCCAGGCGCGGTCTCAGCCTGCCCAGCGCTGCCCCCAGTGAGACAGGCCCCAGCCTGCGGTTGCAAGCCTGGGAGTGGAGGAATGGGCGTTGACGTCTCCCTCCCTACTCCCGCACCTTATTTCGCCTTGTATCTGCCCCCACCCACTACAGCCTCCCGAGGCAGAGGACCCTGCTCATGGCCAGCCCTGCAATTCCTGCAGGGAACAGTGCCCAGGCTTCCTGCTGCACGGCTGGAGGTAAGTGACCTCTAGCCTTTGTCAGAGCCCTGCCCCAAGATTTGAGCTCCGCCCACAGAGCAGAGTTGGGAAAGAAACCTAAAAGTCCATTCCAGAGCCCCGCCCCCTGACTCATCCCCGAGAGACCTCTTCCCAGGAGGGTTTCACAGCCCTATTATCCCCCAAAAGCATCTTCTCCAAGTCTGGATTCCGTCTCTAGAGAGATCTAGCCCCTTCCACATACTCCCTCAGCCCCCTTCTTAGGCTCAGAACTTTTCTCCTAGGCCCAGTGTTCTCTCCTCCTGGAGCCTTACACCCAAAGTCTAGGAGCCCATAGTCCCACAGACTCACTGTCGTGTCCCTACTCCCTGTACACAAGTTCAGGGCCTTAACACAAGACCTGCTTCCAGGGGTCCCCCACAGAGTGCAGAATCTTCCCCTAGGAAATTCCTTGATTTGTGGCACCAGTCTGAACCCCGGAGTCCCGCCCCTGTTGCCCAGAGACTCTGACCCACGCACCAGAGCTGGTTGGGTGATGCCCTTCAGACCCTGAAGCCCCACCCCTTAGTATCCTGCACCAGAATCACAGCCCAACCCCCAGACCTCTAGGCCCCTGTGTTCCTGACCTGTCATCACCCAGAGCCTGGCACAGCCAGTGTCCCATGGCCTGGTCACAAGCAAAGTCAGACCTTGGCTTTAGCCCCAACTCCTGTCAGCCCTGGCCCCAGGCACATAGCTCTGCCCCAGCTCTGAACCTTCTAGTGTTAAGCTACATGCCTTGCCCTTCTTCTGCCGTGCCTGGGCTGCCTAGGGAGCGGGGTGGGCAACTCCTTAGTAACTGACTCCTATCCTGACTCTCACAGGAAGATCTGCCAGCACTGCAAATGCCCACGGGAGGAGCATGCAGTGCACACTGTGCCTGTGGACCTAGAGCGCATCATGTGTCGGCTCATCTCGGACTTCCAGCGCCACTCCATTTCTGATGACGACTCAGGCTGTGCCTCAGAGGAGTATGCCTGGGTACCCCCTGGCCTTAAGCCGGAGCAGGTGACCAAAGGCTGGCCACCCACTCTCCTTCTCTAGTGGGTGCACACAGATGCATTTGAGCGCAAATTTATTTCTGGAGGAATACGGGAGTGTGGTCCAACTGTCAGCGTCTCTGTTCTGAGTGATCGCTGGGCCAGTTCCCCTGGGTCCTGCTCACCTGTTATCCCATGTCTTTTTTCTTTTTTAAAGGTGTGTGTGTGTGTGTGTGTGTGTGTGTGTGTGTGTGTGTGTAGGTGCGTGCGCGCATGCGTGCATCAGGTGTGTATGGGTACCTAAAGAAGCCAGAGAGGGTATCAGATCCCTTGGGAGTGGACCTACGGCAGGGGGGAGGGGTGGGCGGCTGCCAGCTGTCATGAGTGTTCTGGGAACTTTGTTCCAGTTCTCTGGGTGAGCGCGAGAGCAGTTTCAACCGCTAATCATCTCTCCAGCCTCATCTCTAGCCTGTCCGGTACTCCAGACTTGATCTCAGCCCCTTATCACATCACCGCAGATGCATCCATTCAGTTATTACTGCGCATTGATTGTATGTCAGACCTGTCTAGGCCCTGAGGGCAGTAAAGAAACCATAAAACGAAGACTGGGGATATGGCTCAAGACTAGAGCATTTGTCCTAGCATGCACACAGCCCCGAGTTCCATCCGGCACTAAAACGCACACAGAGGCACATGTATGCGGACTCTTATTTTCCTACATGGGCATACCAAAATCCAAAGATGCTCTTCTCTTACATAAACCTATGCCTTATGCAAAATGGCATACATTTATATAGAACCTACAAGCATCTCCCCATACACTTTAAATCTTCCTAGATTATCTAACACTTGGTATGCTGTAAATGCTTTAAGTAGTTGTGTTATTTCTGGCCTGGGGTTGTAGCTCTGGTGTGAAGAACTTGCCTAGCATGTGCAAAGCCTTGGACTCCTCCAAAACCGGAACAAAATGATGGTATTCAGGAAAAAATAGCTGGATGTGGTGATACATGCCTGTAATCCCAGCACTAGTGAGGTGAAAGCGGGATTGCCACAAGTTCAAGGCTGGATAAAATACAGATATAGCCAATCAGGGCTATATCTTTATAAGATATATAAGACCCTATCTTTAAAAAAATAACAACAATGGCAAGAAAAAATCTGCGTGTAGGTGTTCTGTTCATATGGATCTTTTAAAAATATCTTCGTTTAGTTAAACCCTCAAATATGGAACTCTTAGATGGAGAGGGATGACTTGCGTCAGGTGCTTGAAGGGCTATGGAATAAAAAAAGAAAATTGAGGAGCAGAGAATGAGGGTGGCCAGGACTATAA